GATCAAGGACTTATTACTCAGTATTTTGACGGTAATATTACTACGGTACCTCAAATGGTATCAGCTTGAAGTACCAGGAAACCCTGCATCAATGCTTGGTTTGAATAATACGAAAATCCAGATCCAAGAGTTATTTCATTTCATTTTCCATCACAATCAAACCATGGAAGAAAGATGCAGGTCCATACTCTCATGCTTGGTCAGCAATTGCATACGAAGCGTTTGATTATTTACAAGTTTCATAGACTTGATAGGAAAGGATTTCCACGTCCTTCAGGTAAAATACATCCAAACCTTTTATTTGCTATTGAACAGCCTCGAAATGCAGAGCCAGCAGAATAATTGACCAAGATGACGGAATTGATCCTAAAATTCTTTTCCCACCGAATAATTTTAGGGCTAGGAAGATTGTTCGAATTTATGCTTATATTATATTTTGTATTTGCTATTTTTGGCTATATTTACCCATGGAATGTGTAATATACAGGAGAGAAAGACAATATCAGAGACTTTAACCATTTTATTTTGAATATATTATTTGTTTGTATTGTTAATAAATATTAGTGTTTGTATTTTTTATTAAAATATTCTTTGATTTTGTTACTCACCTTGAATAATCATGATTTGAATTTACCAGTTCAAATTTTTGTAAGAATGTGTGGTTTTGGCAACATCTAATTAATCATTTTTTGATAAATATGATAAAAAAATATAATAATTTATGGGATGTGTTCCTGAAATTTACAAAAATGTAAATGGAATTCAATGCATAATATTATATAATAACAGAAATAAAATAGTATACGTTTAAAATTTTTGATGGATTCTTCAGATAGCGACAAGCCTCATTTTGAATTCACTGATACTATCGAGGAAGAAGATGCTGAGGAAGAAATTTCAGAAATTGAGCATAATTTTCAAGAAGAAGAAATATTTGAAGAAGAAATAATGAAGATAACGAAGTTGCTGAAGAAGAAGATCAAAACGACAAGATCAGATGTTATCAATTCATTGAGGAACTTAAAAAATTACAAAATAAGAGCAAAAAGAAACTAGAACAAATAAACGAGAATAATAATCAAGCTCCTAATGAATCGAATAACAAAGAAAGCAGAAATAATGGCAAAAGCAAAGTTAAAAAAGGAAATCGTTACGAAGAATTATGCAAAGATGGTTGTAAGAAGAAAGATGATAAATCAGAGCAAGCAGACACAGGAAAAATGCCTAAGCAAATCGATCCTGAAAGGCTTGAAAAACTTAATAAGAAAAATACTTCAGCTGCAATTGAAATAATTAAACAAGAGCAAAAAGAATATGAAGAGAAGAAATCTGAGAGAAGAGTAGGTTTTGTAACTAAAGCTAAGGAAGCGCAAAATCCTTTATAAGGAGAGGTTTCATTAATTATGAGAAAGATGGAGATATCATTAC